AGATACAGAGAACAAAATAGCTGGGACGAACTGATTAAATTATATATATAAATTTATCATTAAAAATCAAGTCTCGCCATGGCAACAGTAACCATGTTAAGTGACTGTTATGCGCAGAGTTGAAGAGGAATCAGGTACTACAACTTTGTAGTGGCTTGCTTTGATGGTGACCGAGTTCATGCACGCTTCAACAACAAAGCTTTCAAAAGCAATATCTGAGATTAAACCTCACTCAAATATTCCATATGAGCTTCTTCTGGAAACAACAACGCATTTCAAACTAATATAAACTTCTAAACATTCCCATTTAAGGTCGGCTCGTGGTCTGAAGTATAGTATTTTTAGCTGTGCAGACAACATTCAGAAATAATTTATAGATTTTTTTGCTATCTGAAGAGTGCATAATATTTTAGAGAACAGGTTGAACAGAGTTAGAAGGAGGAACTTGAATAAGCTAGAGAGAAGAAGAAAGACTGCATGTCATTCTTGGAGAGAAAGAGAAAGGGATAGTTGAATAAGTTACACAGAGATGGAGAGATAGAGAGAGGGATAGCTAAAAAAAGTTAGACAGAGATACATAGAGAAAAATAGTTAGGATGGATTTAGGTTACAAAAGCAATGCACTTTGCTAGATTAAAGTGGTGACGCCACTCACCCACTGGCACATCTTACCCCAACCTTGCCATGTATATAACAAAACCTATTATTAAACCAAACTACAAAGTGTGAAGTGCTCTGCATGGCTTTTGACAGCATAATATTGGTCGTAACCAAGGCAGAAACTGCCAAGACTTTTAATAACTTGGCACATGCCCAAGTAATAAACCTGACATCTCTGCAGTATGAACAATGACTTGGATCTTAATCACATTTATAGACTTAATCACATTAGAAATCAGAGGCACCAACACAAACACAGCACGTCAAAGGTGTTGTGTAATGAAAGCTAAATGGCATCAGTGCTGAATAAAGCCAGGTTAATTTAACATTACAGTTTGGCTTATACCTACACAGGCTATTTTTCATGTCAATCGTCCTCTAGGAGATGCTCCAGAGAGAAATCAGAAAAGCATGATGAAGAGGGACATCAGAAACATCTGATAAAAGACCATCCAAAGATGAACCTCTGATACTAAAAGCGAAGGTTCCTTTTTAGATAAAACAGCCCTTTGAAAATCTAGACATTTCATTCTAGACATGAGATGCAAGCATTTTTCATCCCATAATTTATTAAAGGGATACTTAAAAAAAAAAAAAAAAAAAAAGACTGTCATAATTTATTCACCCTGCTGCACCATGTTGATCCAAGGAGATTCTTGGCAAAGTGTCCAAGTTTTGGTCGTTTGAATGTTAATAAGTGGAGAAAAAGAAAGAACACTTTAATTACATAAGTAAGTGCTCATTCATACTAATGTGACTATCATGTGAATGAGTTGGATTGAAATGTTTTTATATTATTCTGTATATGTATAATTAAAAAAGATATACTGTAAAGAATAACCATGATTTCAAAAAAATAAAAAATCTGTAACCTAATTAACAAAAGTTGAATTTCCTAGAATTTTCCAGATGACACTTTATTTTTATTCTCTTTTATTGGCATTACTATTGTTCTTTTTTCAGTCATGTACGTAAGAGTTTTTTTTTTTTTTTTTTTTTAGATGACATATCAATAAAAAATGTTTATTGCATTAATTTTATGTTTTACTATGATTCGGTTTAGCTCTATATACAGTATTACCCATTTATAAATCATTCATTCATTTTCCTTTAGCGTAGTCTCTTATTAATCAGGGGTCACCACAGGGAATGAACTACCAACAATTCCAGCATATTCTTTAACCTTTCACAGGGAAACAGCCATACACTCTCACATTTACACATTCTCATACACTTCGGCCAATTTTGCTTACGCAATTCACCTTTAGCGCATGTCTTTGGACTGTGGAGGGAACCGGAGCACCCAAATTAACACGGAGAGAACATGCCAACTCCACGCAGAAATGCCAACTGGCCCAGCTGTGACTCAAACCAACGAGCTTCTTGCTGTGAGGCCACAGTGCTAATCACTGAGCCACCATGCCACCCCTACAGTATTATATATTATTTTAATACAGTGTTGGAAATTATGAAAAACATTGCCTTTCGGTTCAAAGACAACACTAGGCATGAGCCGGTATAATATTCTAACGGTATGATAACCTTTAATAAAAATATCAAGGTTTCACGGTATTGTGATTACTGTTCTAAAATATATCCTTTTTAAATGTCTGGGTAAAAAAACAAGACCTTTTTCCGTTTTTAACACAATGGCTGCATCTGAAATTGCATACTCCCATACTACATAGTATGCTAAAAACATTACGCGAGCCAAGTAGTATGTCTAAATTCATAGAATTTGAAAAACAGCAAGGATGAAGTTCCCAGATGACCCACTACTTCCGCCGAGATTCTGAAATGCACATCCAATCGATGCTACGATATCCCATGATGCACCATGAGAGAAGTCATGAATGGGAGTGAAGCGACACGACTGACGCTGGTGTCATGTGATGATGACAAAATGGTATCCTTAGTATGTCCGAGCTCATTCATACCACTTACATTCATACTGTATAGAACATATATGTCTAACAGTCGAGTAGTAAATTCGAATTTAAAAGCTGTACCTACTGAGTAGGAGGTGATTTTGGACGCAGATATAAAAATATAATTTAATTTGGAGCAGTGAACATGCCAGGCTAAATAATTCAAATAAATCATTGACTTCTGCTTAGTTTAAAAAACACAGATTTTTTTACAATTTAAAATGGCAACTGAAGATCTTTTCTGCTGGAGATATGTTTGTCCTAAAAAACAAAACCAAAAACATAAAAAAAAAAATTACATACACCATAAGGACAGTATTACAGAACAGTATTTTGGTGGTTTAAAAACCTTGAAAACGGTCATTGTCCCATACCTAGACAATTCTGGGAGTTATTTATGAGAATAACTATATTAAAGTGTGATCTATTGCCTTATGAAAGATGTTATAATCAGATATGGTGTTATCACTTTTAAAACAAATTAGCCAACTGTTGTCATTTTTATTCTAATACTTTTCTCTTTTTTTAGAGGCTGCAGTCAAATCAGCTCCATTAAATCCTTACTTAAACACCCTTGAACAATCTCCATTTTAAAAATGAAACTCTGAGAAACTGTTATCTTATGCTTCCCGAGGCTTTTGAAAGACGTTTCATATCACTTTAAAGCTCCATATGAGAGTTGAGATGATTTTCAAAGGGCATGTTTTAGAGTCAATCAGATAGTTACATAAAACATTCTCAAGGACACGTCGCAATGTCACATTTCAATTATGTAGTCTGATGCATCGCTAAACAACAGAGAAAATGTATGCATTTATCCAATTTCGAATGTTCAAATAACCCATTTTTTCTCCATCCAACTCTTCCTTCACGCTTCATTACATTAAAAAAGGCTCTTGACTTTCTGAAAGATAAGACAGGGACCATATCGAGTCTCGCCATGGCAACAGTAACTGTGTTAAGTGACTGTTATGCGCCGGGTTGAAGAGGAATCAGGTACTACAGCTCTGTAGTGGCTTGCTTTGATGGCGACTGAGTTCACGCAGGCTTCAAAAACAATATCTGAGATTAAACCTCGCTCAAATATTCCATAGGAGCTTCTTCTGGAAGCAGCGACGCATTTCAAACTACTGAGCATTCCCATATGAGGTGGTCTGAAGTACAGTATTTTTAGCTGTGCAGACAATATCCAGAAATAATTCATAGATTATGCTAGTGCGCTTGACTTTTTGCTATCTGAAGAATGCATTACAAGAGAAAACAACGCTCAAACGAATGCCTCCCTGACATATACGCCTAAAGCGCTTCAGGCAACCAACTACTTCTGGGAGACGGAGAACGGGAACTTCAAAACCGTGAAGGTTATTGTTGTGCGTCACGTGTTTGGAGCAAAAAGAAGCTTTGAGAATATTCTTAATCACCACAGGCTGGCACATGCGAAGTACCGTTTTGAAAGTGAGAGTTCGGTGAAATTACAGAACAATTTTTGACTTCAGGCTTCCTTCAACTGTTTGATGTATGAAAGTCATTACAATCTGACAGACTCCACATCCAGTTCATGAAGTTGATTAATTGCCGTACACCTGCCTACTTTTGAAGCAGACAAAGAAACGTTTCAAACACACAAAGTTTAATACTATTCTGCTATGTATAAAGGCTCATTTCATAATTGAAAACCCGGTTTCTGCTCCAACTGTTGATCTGCTTTCATCTTTTAACATGGCATGATCATTTCTCCCATCCTCTGACTCATACGCCGAGGTTTCCTTTGTAACGCAGCGACAGCCAATCATAATTGACCTTTACACCTTTCCGAGTCATTTGTATGCAGAGTGCTCAAGCTTAGCCTGCTCTTAAAGACAAAAGAAAACATGGGAATTAATTTAGCTGTAAGGGCTAGTGGAATAAAGAAGTCAAATAACAATGCTCTTTTCATCCGAAGCGTTTTGCACCTTCTGTTCGGATGTTTAAAGGTGCCAATTGCGAGAGGGGTGAAATTACGAGCGCTGTAATAAACCCCTTCGATCTGTTCATTTCACCAAGTCATGCCGGATTACCCTCATTTGCCTCGCTACACTGAAATATCAAACACGCATACAGCACACAGCAAACGGTGACCCAAATCAATTAGCCGTGCCCTAAAATCAAATCCTGCTGCATGGAGAACAGTGCCAACTAAAGCCATCAAAAATAAACCTTATCATTTTCTGCTTGGAAGAGGCATCAATGGAATTTACAGTTGGCAACACCAAATGAAATATAAGAACATAAGGTTATCTGCTTGAAACGCTACCAAAAAATTGACTTGAAAGCTCTGATAGGGCTTATTTGTGGATTTTTAGTGAAAGCTCCTCACAATCCAGTTGATTTTTGCAGGATGTGAAAGGAAACAGAAGCTGTTTGGGTACTCACCGAGTTGACTCCCAGAAGAAGGTTTGTCAGTGCCATGAACCTGCGAAAAAATGTTAAGAGAGAGAGAGACGATGTTAAAGGAGTGATTACAAATAGAGCAGGAAGTAAATAAAAGTCCAACCTGGAGGCAGTCTATATATCATTTGTTTTGACAAGATAATCCAGCACTATTAAAAGCACATCAATAAGGATCACCTAAACACTAAGCAAGAGAGTCAGATGAGTCACAGCCTTTGCCAAGAACATTTAGGCAACTAAATTGCAATTTAGTCATTCCTCTTAACATGTAATGATTTCTTCAGTAAATTCTTACTGACCAGGGGTGCTTTTCCCAAACAACCACATAACTCGTGGCTGAATTATTATGGTACGATGCCTCGTTTAAGTAAAGAACGATGTAGTGACGTGTGTTTCTCAAAAACCGAAGTTTCTCTGTCGCAGATCCATCAGATGAATCTTGTAAGTTATGACGTAAAACGCCCATAATGATGCTCTAAGCGAGGTGGATTAACTACTTTTTAATAGAAGAACCCTATAATTTCTTTGTGCAAATTACATTGTTATACACGCACATGCATTAAAAAAACATACAATATTAGTTCTGGTAAAAACATGCACTTGTTTTCTATATACATTCATATACATAATTGAAATATATGTAAATGGCACATATAGGGCACATGTTTCCTTCAAATATTACTGAGAACATTACATACAGTATCCTATTCTAAATTAACATAAAATCACTTATAAGAGCTAACACATATTCTAATATATATAAAT